AAACAGTGCCGCAGTTGTGCTGTTTGTCTGGTTGATTGAACTTCCAAACTATCATCCCACCATAGCATTATTCTACCTTTGCACTGACTAGCATAATGGGTGAGCCACTTCCAGTTACCCCAACTCTGTTCCAAATATCTTTCACTCTTTTCCTTCACCATTTTAGTTTCCACTACACAAACCATATTGTACTTGTTAATATTGATCAGTTTTTGCAACTATTGTTGCTTAAGGGGTGAGTTCAGACCCCTTATGTTCCATGTCATGATGCTACACATGATAAGATGGTCCAGGGTCGAGAAACTTGCTCTGTTGGAAACCAGCTTTATCATATGTATCATTCTCATTAGTAGACTGTCGTACAATTCGGCCTTCTGTCTCATCTTGAACCTGCAGATGGGCCTGTGATTACTGTATCACCAAAAAATTCATCGACATCATCCTTTTTTTGCATTAGCTGCACACTATCCTACCCCTTACCCACTTGGCATCATGTGATTTAAGCTCATTTTTGGATTCCTCAGTAGGAGGATTCACAGCTGAGCTCTCCTTAGTAACTTTGGTTGTCATTGTTTGTGTCCCCATTCCCCCTTCCACATTCTATTTTACTATCCTTCTCCAATCAGTCTGGACTTTCTTAGGTTTAATTTCAGGAGTTTTGGCCTTTTTCCTACATACCTTAGTTAAGTGACCATATCCCTGGCAACAGGAGCGTCTGGTTGGCAACCGCTCATAAGTAACCTTTTGAAGTTTGACTATCCCATTTTCATCCTCAAAAACTATTTTTTCAGGAACAGATTAAGTGATTTCCATGGCGACAAGAAATCTAGCATATTGCACTCTATCCCGAGTAACAGTATATTCATCCGCTACAATAGGGCTTCCTATGGTACTTAGTAGTCCACTTAAAGTTGATAATCTCCACTATTTCAATTCCAGACCATGAAACTGCACCCAAACAAGAACCCTTTCGACCTCTTTATAGTTTAGACCCTTTTCTACATTCCAAGGCTTTATTTTAAGTGGTTTTGATCCAAAATAATAGAAATTCACACTAATTACTTCTTCCCTAGCATGCAAAGTGGTGAATCTAACAACAGAAAGACAACTAGGAAGCTGAATTACCTTATCAATGCCAAAACGTCCCCAAATCATGTGAAAGTGAGCTTCCATAACCCAGGTTGGGGGATTTGGTCCCAGAACAAAGCACACCATAGAAGATTCCCAAAAATCAGTCTCAACTTGCACATCCTCACGTTGTATGCGAGAAATCGATTGTCTAGCAACCTACATGGGTTCGACAAATTGAAGCTTCCCAGTTGGCCTTTTCTATTTCTCTGCATCCAATTTGCTCCATGGCTGCTGTTGTTCTTCCTTTTCAACTTTGTCTGACCAGGATAGCTGACGACGAGGGTTTGGTGCATGAACCCTGGGTTCCAAAGTATCCCTCAATTTCCCTGATTGGCATCCATCACTAAATTTATTAGCACCCTTCTGAGTAGGGTCATTGATTTCCACCTAAGGCGTCTGCTGATTCCCCTCCTTAACCCCAGTCTTTGAAGATTGGCCTTCAATCTCCGCAACAAGCTGATTCAACTCTTCCTCTTGATGCATGATGGATTTCCTCGATGAATCTTTCACCATCGATCTATCACCAAAGCTCAATCGATTTGGTTGAACAATTTCGTCTTCCGGCTGCTATTCATTTACTTTCATCGTATTCGTCTTCTTCTCCTTCCGTTTTCTGCCAGCCATGGCTGGCGCACATTAGAGGCACGCATCGAGATAAACAAAGAAGAGAGAGAAACGAAGAGAGATGGTGAAATTCCCCATTGGATTCGGCTTCCACACAAGTCGATCTGGCTCCTCATTAAATGTCATCCCCATTGTCTTCAATTGCTCCGCATCTTGAGGTTTGATAGAAGACGCCAATTCCTGCAATAAAAAATACTTTGAAACAAAAGATTCCTTCACTGTTAGATTTAGAAATGGAGGCATTGTCGTTTCTTGCCAAATAGTTCCCCTAACCATCCATGGATCAAACCAGGAAGATGATGACCCATCATTGACTATTTTCAAGCTTTTCGTAGCCATATTTTGATCAACCTTTTGTATTCTTTTCCAACTTGTTCTGTCCTTAGCCTTGTGAGACAAAGATAAAAAAAATCTTGACTAGACTCCTTGCTTATTTTGAATCTTCCACCACAACTTTATTGAGAACGCATTGAGTGTATCCTCCAGTCTTCGAACCCCAAGACCATTTTCCACCACCGGATATATGAGTTTACTCCAAGCTCTCCAATGTTTCTTGCATCCAAATTCAGTGTCACCCCAAAGAAAAGATTGACATTTACGCTCAAGGCTTTCCAAGACTAATTTTGGTGGCAATATGGCTGCAATGGTATGAATAGGTACAGCTGATAATACATGCTTAATCAATACTAGTCTTCCTCCAATTGACAACATCTTATCCTTCTAGTTTCCCAACTTAGCATCAAAAGCATCCAAAAGTGTTGAAAATATTCGCCTTTCTTCCTCCCCTTAAAAAAGATTGCAGCCCAAATATTTAAAAGGGAAATTTTCTTGTGGCATTTGTAGTGTTTGAGCAACTAAAGCAACATGAGCTTCACTACTCTTGTCCGATACCAAGAATATGCTCTTTTGTTTATTCATCTTTTCTCCAGTTGCTACCTCATAGTCATGAAAGAAATCATTGAGTTTCTGCATAGAATTCCAGAGACCTTTTGTGAAAATAATTAAATCATCTGCGAAGTGGAGATGCGAGACAATTCTTGAGCCGGCTGGCACTCCATACAATGCCATGTCCCCTTTTCAGCAAGTCTTCTCATGTTTTGAAAGAAAGCTTCCGACATAAGTATAAACAAATAAGGCGATAAAGGATCTCCTTGTTTAATCCCCCTCGAAGCTTGAAATAACCAGTTGGACTTCCATTTATAAGAATCGAGAACCAACTTTTTTTGAGATTAGATAGCACCAATTTCACAAAATGATCATGAAAACCGAATTTCAGCATGATCCTTTTCATAAAATCCCACGAAACTCTGTCAAACGCCTTCATCATATCTACTTTTAAGATTAGATTACCCCCTTTTTTCTGGATGATCAAGGAATTGTAAAAGGTCTTGTGTCAAGAGAACGTTATCAATAATTTCCCTCCCTTGCAAAAGACGGATTGTTCCTCTGATATGAGCTTGTGAATCACTACTTTCAATCTTTCAGTGAGCAGCTTGGTAATGATTTTATTTATGAAATTGCATAAACTTAATGGCCTAGAATCCGCAAAAGATGTACCCGTTTGTTTTTTCGGGATCAAAGTGATAATAGTGCTACAAATCGCACGTGGAAGAGGAACACCCAATATGAATTCATTACAAGCCATTCAAGATCTTCTCCAATTATATTCCAGCAACTTCTACAAAACTCTCCTCCAAAACCATCAATACCCGGCACGAGAAGGATCCAAATCAAATACAGCTTGCTTAATCTCCTCCTTTGCAAGCAGTGCCACTAAGATACCGTTGTCGGCTTCGGTTAGAATAGTTGGAATATGCTCTAAAATTCGTTCACAAGCCTCATCATGATCCGCAACAACTTCTTCGGGCAGTAAATTCTGAAAATAACAAACCGCTTCATGCTCTAGATCTTCTCGCTTATTGATCCATGTTCCATCTCCTTTTCTGATTTATATATTCCTTGCCTCGCCTTCTGTTCGATCAAGGAAGCATGGAAAAAAGCTGAATTAACATCACCTTCCTGAAGCCATTTAAGTCTTGAGTTCTGTTGCAGAAAATCATCATGTTCACGCAACTTGCTGAGTAAATGAGCCCTGGATAGATGTAGCTCCATTCTGTCCGTCTCACTACCTGTTTGATCATTTATTAGCTGCCTTTGCTGGACATGATCCTCAGCTTCCTTCAAATTTTGAAAGACATCACCAAAATCGGATTTGTTCCATTCCTTCAATCGACCCTTAAGCCTTCTAAGCTTTAAAGAAAATGCTAACATTCCGAATTGTTCAAGAGGTTGATCCCAGCTCTTTTTTACTACTGCCTTGAATGTTTCCCGTCGCAACCACATTTTTTGAAACCGAAAAAGCCCAGGCCTTGTTTCAACATCACATTTAAACTGGTGAAGAAGAGGCAAGTGATCCGACGTAGCCCGACTTAGATGCTGGACTGATGACGACGCGAACAGAGTTAACCACACTGAATTAAAGAGGATTCTGTGAAGCTTTTTCAGTACCAATCCATTTTACCTTTTTCCTTTCCAAGTAAAAGGGTTACCCGATGGAATCAATTCTGAAAGATTGCAATCGTTAATCCATAAATTAAAATCGTCCATGGCTTCTCTATCCGGATTAGAATTTCCTTTATATTCTTCGAGACTACGGATTACGTTAAAATCACCTACAATCATCCATGGTTTCGCACCATTTTGCTGATGAAACAGTAACAATTCAGTCCATAATTCCCTTCTTGCTGTTTTTGTTGATTTGGCATAGATTGCTGATAGGACAACGGGCGTGGCAATACTCGAATTTTGCAGCTCCATATGCATTACCTGCTCTGATCCCCCCAGAAGTCGAACTGACCATATACTCGAACTGAAAATCCAGATTTTACTTGTTTCCGATGCAAAAGGCGAACAGAAATTGAGCTTAGTTCTTATCTCTTCAATCCGAGAAGCTGGCAACAGAGGTTCAAGAATCACAACCAAAGAGATTGAATGCTGTTTGATTAAATTTTTGAGGCGCCTACAAGAAGCTTTATCTCCAATTCCATGAATATTCCATACAAGATAACTATTCATTGGGAATTTTTGGAAGAGAGATCGCCGTTCAGCCTCGCAGAAGAACGAGTTTTGGAGCTGACTTTCTTTGCTGCTTTCGTTGAGCCTCTTGGACGTCCTGGTTTTCTCTTTTGTTCTTCACCATCTGAAACAACCACTCGAGCATCCTCGACTTCTGTAGCAGTAGTTAGTTAGCCAATTTCCAGATCATCCATAGTTGAAGGCATGTTTTCCTGTACATCATTTTGTAATTCTGAATAAGTCACTTCAATGTCTGAATGCGAACCATCCGAATCATGACCAGCCATCGTCTCCTTCAGGTTTTCTTCCATCTCTGAAGCGTCACCCTCTTCTTCCAAGTCTGTCAGAACATGGAATCGTTCCGACAATTTAATTGTTTTTCCCGGATCCTGATAAAGAACTAGCTGCTGTTGACGATTTTCCTGATTAATTGGCACCTCTTCATCCCAAGGATCGGCGAGATTTTCCTCCACCTTATTCTTTTCCAGTACTGCATTTAACTGCTCCTTAGTGAACCTTCTCTTAGCTGAAGAATTTTGTCGCTGCGGAGAAACAATACTTGGTATGTCCGTTGGGATGTGTTCCTTATCTTTCTCAGTCAGCTCTGATGTTAAAGGACCTTTATCCTTTTCAACCCCTTCCTGATTTTGGTCGTGCACCACTTTTTGTTTCCACGTTGTTGCTACAACAGGAGCCTTAGGCTTTGGTTTATTCACAGAAATTGGCTTTTGGGGCTGCCTTTCCACAGTTGTTGATTTCAGCTTCCCATGTCGACAATCCTTATCATCATGCCCAATTTTCTGACATTCCAAACAGTCGGGAAGATCTTCATATGTGATAGACTGAAAGTACGAATGCTCCTCCGTTTCCAAGATGAATTCTTGATGGTGATTCATATAGAAGATCAACTTAAAAGAAGTTATTAAATCTAATAATCCTAAGAAGTTTTCATTTCCCATTTCAGTTATTAACATGCTTTCATAATCTATTTGTTTTGTGTTTTCAAAGTTAGAAACTCTATTATCTAAACACTTATTGAGTTGCTTCAGAATTTTAATTTCTTCTTTAAGATTATTAATCTCTTCTCCTAAATCATTTACAGTAGTAGGAGATTTCTCTATTTTATGAATGTTGTCTTTTAGCATTTTATATACTTTCGAAATGGTATATGGGTTATTATTATGCATCTCTATCTTGTCTTCTACATTATTTTGAGTATAACTGCTAGTTGGTATATCACCAACTCGTTCAATTATTTTGGATCTTGAATCCTTATCTTTAATTAATTTTAAAAATTCTATGATTTTATTATTAGACAAGACATTTATACCTGATTCTTTAAATTGAGACAAGATTTTATAATAATCTTCATTTTCATCATGAATTTGTTTTATACTACAACTACCGGTTTTTTCTCAATGACTACAATACTCAATGCCTGAACTATATGATGTATTACTTAGCTAATCTGTTTCATCTTCTTCTGAATTTTCTATTTCAGATCCCCAGCTTAACAAATAAATTAATTCTTTCTTAATTCCTTTATCAATTTTTGAATTATTTATCTTCTTTTTTATCTTGCACTTATTTGCAAAATGACCTGGTTGTTTACATCTATAACAAATTATATTAGCTCTATCTCTCTCTTCTTCCTTTCTTTTCATTTTTCTCATTGCTTTTTTATTAAACTTTTCTTGAGAATATTTTCTCTTTTTTTTCTTATAATATTTATCATTTTTCTTAAAAATATTTATTAATTTTCTTTCTGATGGAACTTCCATCCCAAATTGAGTACAAAACTGTCCTAATTGTTTTCTTTCTGTTACTCTCTATTTTTTAATTTGTTGATTCAATTTTATCTCATTACACAAAACTAAACCTTCTTAAATACAGGTTCCTATTAATTTTTCATTAGTATAATTTTCATAAGCAATATTAATCCTATCGTTTCTTAAAACTTTTCTAACTCTTTCAGCAAATAAGCTTGACAATCCATCTATAAACTTAGACTTCCAGTGAGTGCTATTGCTATCATGCAATTCCATTACTCTGTTTAAGAAAGCATCTTTATACCATCTAAATTCAGATAACGTTTTACATTTTAAATTCTGTAATAAAGTACGAATATTTTCAGCATTATCAGAAATTCTTCCTGTAAAATGCTCTAATATAGTAACAATCAATGTATAAACTGCATTCTCAGTTATCTGAGTTTCTTCCTGTTTAACAGTTACATAAATTTCTTCTTTATTTTGAAAAGACAAATAATTGTCCCACTTACCTTTTAGTTGGCCTATAAATCCTGCAACTATCATTTTTTCAATCCCTACATCATTATTGCCATTTGTTTAACAAATAGTACTATACATTAGCATCCTATGAGCTATGTTGTTGTATATTTATTTTTCAGTATAACCATCTATATTTCATTCATAGATACATTTTCCACTGTCATTATTATTTAGTATATATTCCTGCTCTTCATGTAATATATCTACAAGAGAGGGTCTATCATAATTATATAAACTTTGAGGAGTTTTTTTACTGAAAAAATTATCAAGGGAAGAACGTGAACAAAAATAATGTGAAGAAAAAAAAGGTGGACAGAAGTAGATGTCTCGGATTTGTGAAATCCAAGAGCAACTATTAGTCGGATTTCGCAAATCCGAGAGACGCCTAACTCGGATTTGGCTAATCCAAGAGCCTTCTAACCTGAAATTAATTAAATTTAGCTAAACAATTAATTAAAATTAATCATGTTTTGGATTTGGGAAATCCGAATGGTTTCATTAAAAAAGTAATTTATATTTTGTAAAAAAAAATCTAAGAGTTCGAAAATTAAATTTGACCAGAAACGGATCACCCAAATCCCAAACAAGTAGTTTCGGATTTCTGTAATTCGAATTACGGAATAAAATAATATTTTAAATTCAGAAAAAAATTTTAAGTGTAAAAATAGATATGAAGAGTCTCGGATTAACGAAATCCGAGAGTCTGCAGATTCTGCAGAACTCTCGGATTTGCCAAATTTGAGACATACCAAAATGGTAGCTTTCGGATTTGACAAATCCGACACATACCAGAAACTTGAAAAAAAAAATGGACTGGTTTTAACCAGCCCTAACCCTGTTTAAACAACACCAACAACCAATTCATAATAAACTAATTGAACAACCAAACGATAACATTTTTATAACAAAATAATGTAAAATTTTCAACTTACAATCCAAATCATTCAAAAACCCTAAAAAAGATTAATCACAATTATTTTTTCTGTCTCCTAGGAATAGTGGGCGGGGTAAAATTAACCGGCGGGTTGCGCGTCCTGTCGAATTTGCGAACCCCTTGTTCCTGCGGCTCTGGACGGATTGTATGAATTGGCTGCACGTTTAAGACTTGCGAGTCTCCTCCGAGAGTAATGGTGACAGGTATCTCTTCTTCATGTGGGGTGTAAGATCCTCTCGAAGAACCAACATCGTTCTCTCTTCTCATATTGTCTCCTCCCATTTCCTTCCCTCCTCCTACATTCTCTCCTCCTGGGTTCTCTTGCTCTTGTTGGCCCGAACCTTCCGCATGATCCTGCAATTGTGATGGCCTAAAAGGATTCCTTCGGTTTCTTCCTCCTCCAATTTTCTCTCTTGTCCACGGCTTCATTTTTTCACTGTGCAGACTTTGTGAGGGGTGACGCTGTTCATAATTCAAAAAGATTTGGGAATCCTAAATTTCCATCTCATCATCTGTTTTGAGAGTTAAAGCAGTGTGAGTTATGTCCGCGAAATAGTCGAGCACCTTTTTGAGTTCTTCGTCTAGGTCATGGGCAACACGACGTTCTTCTCGGAATGATATGGCCTTCATACGGACATTGTTCAGCAGTTCACCCTGTAAATCAAATGATGCATTAACTAAAGGAGTATAATTTAAAATTTATATGAATAGAGTAAAATGCACTTCCATACGTAGATTAATTGCAAATAAACATTTACATACACTTTCACCCGGCTCGAGGAAGACTCATATCCGGCTGACGTGTAGTGTCTCGGATCGTTTATCAATTCCACCAAACCTTTGTTGAACCACGCTTCATACTTCTCATCAGTTTCACCGGGCTCTCCTTCCACCAAACTCGTAAGAATGGTTGGTGTCTCCTATTCCAACGGGGGCGTACTTTACTATGGTGATCTACCCAATTTTTCTCAGTAAGCCTAGACATGTTGTGTTCATGAATAGTCTTATTCTCTTGGATATTGGCAATCATAGGACATGGGGGAACAGCTTGAATGTAGCCAAACTGTCTCACGACCCTGTCAATTTCGTGGGGTTCTCGGACAGCCCAGTAGAACGTCCCCGTCCTTGCCATCCAAATGGCACTTCCCTGTTTACAACAATCAGGGAGGGTAGGGAGGAGATCCTCATAGGGTTGCCCAACAAACTGTTAAAAAAATTGGGAATTCACGAAGTAATTCACATAAGAATGGTGGTAAAAAAAATAAAATAAAATAAAATAGGAAGTGATTCATGCTTACATCGCTGGCTTTTAAGGAGGTCAATTGATCTCTAGAACCCAGGAGACTAGATCTTGTGACGTCCTTGTAGAAGTACGAGTAATTCCACCTTTCAATACAAAAAAAAAAATCAAAGGTATTATTTATTCAATAAAAATAATAATGATATTGTAATCTTTAAATTAAGAGTATAGGGAATAAACTCACCAATAAGCTAAATGAGCTGTAGAATGATAGCAATCTCGTAGATGAAGCAAATTTCGTTAATGCAACCATTAAACAAGAAAGTACGAAGATAATTTGTCTATCCCGTGAAACTCAAAGGAGTGAGGAAAATTCACAGTAAGACGATCGTTTATCTAAGGATTCCTATCTCTTAACTCAAACTAAGCAAAGAACACATAATCTATGAAAGATTCGAATTAAACAATAACCCACACTAAGAATAGTAAGGACACCATTCAATATACTCGAGCAGTCATCAATCAAGAGACTCAAGAAAGGTAGGAGCAAACAATGCTCAACTATAAAGGAATACTATTGATTAGTAATCTCCATAACCAACAAAGATATGCCACATAAACACTATCTCAAAATGCTTACACCAAAGCAAAACTCATCCAACAAAAGTAGGACAAAACCCACAAAGGAACTCATGAACACACACATCATGAACTCAAAAACCATAGCAAAAAGAAAGGTTCAACCCTTGAACTACTAGAAGTAGTAAGAAAATAAGAAGTTTAGTTTTAAAACAATTCTATCAAGAAGCATACTTGAAAAAGAATGGTTTTTGCACGATCAAAAGATCCAAGACAAGATGAAAACCCTCTTGGTTAAATCATACTTGACACATAAAATGGACACACCATTTAACAAAAATTCCTCACAGGAAAAACTCTCATTAGAGAAGACTCAAAATGACCATACATGGGTGCTTTAACTTTCGGCCATACCCCCCTATTTATGGGCTAGCAATTTCGGCCATAAGCACCAAAAAAGAAGACCAACTAGGACTCTCTAATCTTATCTCACGTATGAGTAGAGTTAGAAGAGTGTTTGATCTCTTTGACTCTATCTAAAATCTTGAAAACCTTACCTAAATGACTTATCCTCAAATAGGATAATACTTAGAAGGAATCTAAGACTCCTAATCAAAACACTCTAGTTTAACTCAGTCCACATGATTTATTTAACTAGATAAAATTCGAAAATTAAACTCCCAGACTAGATAATACTCTAAATCCGAAATTCAGCTCCAAATATTGAAGTTAAATGTCTTGAACGCCCTTCCAAAAGTGAAATATTGGTCTTGTTCCCCTCAAGTTGTAGATAACTACAATTTACTCCAAAACTTGTAGAATTCTTTTTATTTTCATCATCCTCTCCTTCTTTAAGAGGATTCGTACTCGAATCACCAACCTCTAAACCTGCACAAGGAACAAACGAGATATAAGGGTTAGTAAATCCTCATCCTCACGACACTCTGATTTTCTCTCATTGCGTGCATCTTTTTTGGTTTCCAGGCTATTTTCATGGTTTTCTCTCGCCTCAAGTCTTATCTCAGCGTGACCCTTTTTACTTTCTTGCGTCACACTCTCGACTTTTTCTCTCCCTTGTGTATAGGATATCTTACGTCGTTTCTCTCTAACATTTTCAGCATCCTCATAAGCCAAAGGTTTAACAATGTGTCTAAGGTCATCCTTAGTAAAGACAAAGACATTCTTTGAGCAATGGTGAACATCATCTACATCTGATTGCCAAGGCCTACCTAACAAAATATCACAAAGAGACGTAGGAATTACATCAAAGAAAATTTCATCCCTATACTCACCAATTTGAAAAGATACCATGGCCTTCTTAGTGACATCCACAACCATCTCTTCACTCAACCATTGAAGCTTGTATGGTCTAGTATGCGGATCCATCTTGATTCTGTTTGCTATGCAAAATTCCTCTCTTATACAATTAGTACTCGATCCACCATCGATACCAAATCAACTTCATTGGACCACCCAATTGAACACTTAGTACGGAAGATATATGTCCGTTGATCACCATCTTCAGCGCCAAACACCAACCCTTAGTCCTCAATTGGACCATTCCAACCACAAGAAGCATCATGCTCTCTCTCCACTTCTAAGGCAGCATAATACACCTCATAGAGCCTTGATTGCCTCCTTATCTTTGGGTGTTGTTTATACCCCTTGTCCAAGCCATAGTGGAAACGATTAGTTAACATGTAGTCGTTCTCATCCACACCCGAACTCAGGAACACGCCTTATAACTCCTCAAAGTAAGATTGAACTGATCTACCATTCTGCTTACAATTGAGCAACTTCACTTTTGCTTCATCAAAGGTGTTAGTACCAACATATCTTTCTCGCAAAGCATTTCTCAAATCATGCCAATCATCCAAATTACGATACCAATGATGCGAATAGATATTTGAAACTAGCTACCACCAATTCAAAGCACTAGAACAAAAACAACTTACAGCTAAGGCTATTTTCTCACTCTCTTTCTCAATGTTAAGCAATACAAACAAATTCTCTATGCTCTTTTCCCAAGTATCATAGTCTCTATGGCAACCATAAAATAAAGGTAATGACACTTTCAACATTCCAGCATACGTGGGTACTTGTTTTACTTCAAAACGATCACATAAGACTCTCAAATTTTCAGCAGTTTTCTCAAAACTTACCGTAGCTTTATCTTGCTAATTTGAAAGCAATTGAGACAAGTCTCAGTTCACCTCCTTCACCTCGACCAATGCTTCATGCAAGTAGTCAATTTGACTCTTTATGAGTTGCACTTGAGCCTCCATGAGACCCTCTACGCTCTTTGAAGCAACTTGAGTACAACCAACAACCCCGGATGACATCTTTGCTCAACAACTTGGAGAAACCACCAACAAAAGAAGTAATGTGATGAGAATCATGTAGCCTTCTGTTAGACCCCTAAATCCTTAGACCCCATTTCACACGCAGCCGGCATGCATGTGATGCGGGAAAACAAGTGCCGGGTGACGCTTGTCCCTGGTTCTGTCGGGTTGGCTCGTGAGTTGGGCTGGAACGGAACGGTATTGCGGGACTCTGTGGCGTCGGGTTGCTGGTTACCGAGTTTTGGGGGAACCGGTATGAAAAATCTCGAGAAAGGCTGGGACTTGTGGGAATTCAGTCTGTTGGCACGGAAGGTTGCGGAAACGGGTGGAACGGGACCAAGAAATCTCGGTGCATGGCTAACCGGACTGTGGCTGGGTGCAGTTCCGGGTTTTCAGTGCGGCTGGCAGGAAACGGACCCGAGTTTTCTCGGGACAGGTGGCCTGGACAGTTACGGGCGGTTACCTTTTTGTGTGTCAGTGTTGTACCCATGTTTCCCTGAATTCCTAGGGCAGTTATAACTGCCGTCTCTCTGTATAAATCCTGGTGGAATTTAGCCAGCAACCCACAGGAGAGATTTGGGATTTGTGCTATGCAAGTTCTGGAGTAAATTCCTTGTATTGCGAGTTTATAATACGAGGTTGGGTTTTTATCCGTAAATTCGGTTGCCTGCTTGCTTTTTCTTTGATGCAAGATTCCTGTTACTTTCATAGAGTTTTGGTGCTGGATCGAGGCTTTCATTTGCCTTTTTCCTGCTGGAAATCCATAGTTGGTTAATGGGGGTGTAACAAGTTGGTATCAGAGCCCGGTTTTCAGGCTTTGGTGACCTTCATTTTTTTGTTGTGTTGCTCTGATTGGTATCGGTTGTTTTCCTACCGTGTTTCATCATGGTGAACACGCAAGGAACTGTCACAGAACGGGTGGGGTGCTTGGAAGCTATCATTGAAGGTATTCAACGGATAATTGGGACAGAAGATCAAAGTCTCAGTTTGTTCCGGATGAAGGTGTGTCGGCTAAGCTTGCGGATATAGAGAAGTTGGTCCGGAATCAACCTTCGCCTTCCTCTTCCTACGCTTCGTTGGACATCGCTATCGAGTCCCTAAAGAAGGACGTTGCTGTTGTAACGCGTAGTGTCGATGGCAGGGTGTCAAGGGCCGAAGTTGAAGAAGAGTTGGCTATTCTTCACACTTTGGTTGACGATGTAGCTTTGATGACGCGGGCTATGGCCTCTTCTGCATCTTCTTCGGGTGGGAATGATCAGTTCCAGGGT